CAGGGTGGACAGGAGTGGGCTGAGTACATAGCCCTGGGGGGTTCTGGTGTTAAGTATTGCGATACTAGAGATGTTTCCAATTCAGACTGACTGAGGTCTCTTCATCAGAAAGTCCAGAATCCAGTTGTAGAGGAAGGCTTTGAGATTCAGCAAGCTCAGTTTTTCTATCAGTTTCTGAGGGATGATTGTGCTGAGTGTTGAACTGAAGTCGATGAACAGTATTCTTACATAAGTGTCCCTCAAGCCAAGATGAAGGGCGAGGAATACAGCATTGGAAGACCAGTTGGGAAGATACACACTCTGGAGGGGGTCCAGAGAGGAGGGGAGTCTGGACTTAATGTGCCCCATGACTAGCCCATGACTTAATCCTTACCCTGTGTGTGTAACCCTTTCAAGGAGTTTCAATCTCTGTCTGTCAAAGTCCGAGGGGTGGAGGTAAATAAACGTTTTGTTGTCGGCACATCATAGGTGTGCGAGCTTCATTCTATGCAAATCCCCCTGTCATTACAATAGTTTAAGGTGCATCATGTCAATCGATGTACAGTAATTCAATTGGCGTTTACCCCTCTTTTTGCAGATTTCGGAGTGAAAGTGCCTAGGACAGGAGTGGGCAAACGTTTTTGTCCCAAGGGCCACATAAAATTTTGAAACTGTATAGCGGGCCACTTCAGGCTGCTGTTACAGATAGCCTATGCCCTATATAAGTTTAGAATCCAACATAGGCTTATTAGTTCAAGGTTAACGATAACCTGAGAGAAAAAAAATAAAAATTGAATAAAGCTTGACTTTCAACTCACAAGCCGTCTTTGGCTTTCCTCGACCTGACAGGTAACTGTTCTACATGATAAACGTATTTTCTCAAATTTGTTCTTGCTCTCTGGATAAAGAATTTCTGAATTTCTATCATATACTCCTTCAAAAGCTCCCCTTCAGAGGAATCAGCTTACTTTGTTTAGGTATTTTATATGCAGGCAGGTAGCTTGCCTTTGGCTTCTTGGATAGTAGAAGGGTGGAAAAATACGTTTTACTGAGCCTGTAAACTAGCGGCTAGTTTGGAAGCTCTGTTAGTCCGCTCCTCGCATGACAGATTGCTAGCAGTTAGCATGTTTGGTAGAGAAATGCCAACTGAGATTGTATTCTATAAATACTGCGACACTTTCCTTACAAATTAAACATTTAACTTTGTTCCAACCTCTGTGAAAAAGTATTTTGCAGTCCATTCTTTGTTGAACACTGCATTCACTGTCAACTTTCTGCTTCTTCAATATGCTCATTTGGTGCAGGTTCACTCACAGTATGATGGACTCACTTTAACCGGTGAATCAAATTGGTAAAGCAGGGGTTCCCAAATATTTTGGTCCATGCTTCCTTTGACCTGTCAAATTTTCCACATGCCTTCCCTTTATCAAAAATAAGTTCTATGGCAGTGCAATATTTAACAAAAGATTATAAATTTGAAAAGGAAATGATGGGTCAAAATAAAAACCAATTTGATCCAATTTTGTATTATTTTCAAAACCAATAGGCTTGATGAAAATAGTAAAAATACTTGACAACACATTTTATTGAAATTATTTGAATGTGCAAACAATTTGAAAAAAATTAAACAACACTCAACATTTTTTTGAAAGGGGGAGAAATACAATGTATTTTTGTTTGTGCCTCATAATGGGTAGGTAGACTTGTTTAAAATATTATATTAACATAATTCACCAAAAATACTAGGTAGTATTTTTTAAATGGCAATGTGCATCTCCTTCTCAACATTGACTCTTGATCTGAACTTGGATTTGATAACCGCAAGTGCTGAAAACCTAGCTTAACAAAGTCAGGATTTCGCAAAGGGAAGCAGAATTCACAGAGCTGTTGCTTATTCCTTGGTACTCCAATAGTACGAGCTATTTTGCATAGTGCTTCTAGGTATGCTAATTTATATGACAAAAAAAAGAACTTTACTGGGGACAGAAGTTTGGTTAGAAAAAGCAGCTTTCTGTTCATTCATTAAGCTTGCACGAAAAATACTCATGAGACTTATCAAACTACTGTGAACAGTTTCCAAATGACATTTCAATGTATTAGGGAGCATGCTCTCCAAAGCCAACACTTTAAGGCAGACAACACACTGAGGACATTCTTCAGTGTCCTCAATTGTACTCGTGAAACAGAAAATTCAAGATACTTGTGGCATAGGGGGTAAGGTGTACAACATAATTAAATCAATGTACTCAGAGAACAAATGTACAATGAAAATTGGAAACAAAAGGACAGAATTCTCTACCCAATGTGTGGGGTGAGGCAGGGCTGCAGCCTGAGCCCAACACTGTTCAATATCAATATCAATGAGATAGCAGGAATGTTGGAACACTTTGCAGTGCCTGGTCTCAAACTTCATGACACAGAGATCAAGTTCCTGCCCTATGTGGATGACAGTCCTGCTGTCACCCACAGAATAGGGGCTCCAGCAGAACCTGACATTGCTGGAGCAGTACTGTCAGGCCAGGGTGACAGCTAATCTGGACAAGACCAGAGACAAATCAAGCTATACATACCTTGGTCTGACTATCAGCTCATCTGGGAGTTTTGACCTGGAAGTGAAAACAGGGCTTTCTACACAATAAGAAGGAGGCTTTTCAACATCAGCCCACTGACAAGAATCTGGCTTCAAATATTTGAAAGTGTAATTCAACCTGTTGCACTATTCGGCAGTGAAGTGTGGGGTTCCCTCACAGAACAGCATTATACTAAATGGGACAAACAACCCATAGAAACTCTGCTCATGGAATTCTGTAGAAACTTCCTCCATTTGATGAGAGAAACGCATAACAGGATGTGCAGGGGTGAGTTAGGCCAATACCCTTTACTAATCAATATACAGAAGAGAGTAATAAAGTATTGGCTACACCTAAAAAGCAACGACCAAAACTCCTACCACAACAAGGCCATGCTGAGCCAAGAGCCAAGCCCAACAAAGACCCCACTGAGCCAGCTGGTCCTGACGTTCACTGACCCGAGCCTCACCGACACCGGCCAGCCTCAGGACAGCACTGCTAGAGCACCACAAATCAGAATCA